AGTTGACTTTGACCAGGGGTATAAGAGTCATTTTACCCAATGTAGTGTTTAGTATCTGATTGTGTGTGTTATGGAATTGTAGCCGGGGAGATACCGGAGCCGCAGCAGTTAGTTTCCGGAGCCATGCATACAACAACCAGTTCACGAGGTGAGTTTCCTTTCAGTAGGAACGGGTCTAAGGCCACAATGTTGGCCCGTTCAGTTAGCCGTAGTTTCTGGACTTCGGTCCAATGCAGTAGTTAGTATGTTTGACGCCTCCGTGGCTCAGACAGGATTTGTGTGCTTATGCTAGTTGATGTGTTATGATATGCTGTGTTCAGTCAGTCAGCTTCGGACTTCAGTTCGATGTAGGGGACAAGGTCCCAGACAGTCAGCTTCGGACTCGGTCCGATGTAGGGGACAAGGTCCCAGTCAGTCAGCTTCGGACTTCGGTTCGATGTAGGGGACAAGGTCCCGGCCAGTCAGCTTCGGACTTCGGTCCGATGTAGGGGACAAGGTCCCTGTCAGTCAGCTTTGGACTTCGGTTCGATGGAGGGGGCAAGGCCCCAGTATATGCTTTATATGTTTATATGGTATGTGGTAGTTTGGGGGAGCTCACTAAGCTTCGTGCTTACAATTTCAGTTTTGGTTTCAGGTACTTCCGCAAGTAAAGGGAAGAGCTCGGGTTGATGGCATCGCACACACCACAGCTTTAGCTTTATCCTGGGAGTTGATTCAGTTTCTTGATATGTTTGGATATAGTTGTGATACAGTTATTCTCACAATATTTTATTATGGTTTTTATTATGTGATACTCAGTTTCGTGGTTTTTGATATAATAAAAGTCGAAATTTTTGGGTATTATTTTTGGGTCGTTTCACAACATCTGGTACGTCCAATAGAGGCAAGTTGGTAGCTGGTGGCCTGTTTGCTGCGTTGGAAACTCTTATTTTCTCGATATCTTCGGAAATCATAACTTTCGCATACTCGCTCCGTTTTCAAAATACTTTATATCTACGGTTTCGTATTTACGTCTACTAAAATTTTCTTTTATATCTTAACAACTACTTCACAATCTATTTTCATTTTATATTTTATAAACAAGATTGGTGCGTTGTATCTTGACAAATCATAACTTCTTTATAAAGTGTCAGATTTTCACGATGTTTATACTCATGGGGTTGTATTTATGATTACTACACATTCATATAGATTAGTTTATTCTATTATAAAACTAACTCGTATATTATTTATATAAAAATAATATTTATACAAATACATATCATGTATGGAAATTCTTATTTATTTATTTATAAGAAATTTACTTTATTAACTAACGTAACTTAAGATTCTTCTATAAAATGCTTAACACCAAAATACGGGCGTTAAATTTTCTAAAGATTGGATTCATCTCAAGATGGAGTTCTTGAAGATGTATCGAAACCTCTATTTTCTAAAATGTTGCATTATGCAACAATGCATATTCCAATTTGAATGAACCATTTGTTTTAATGATGCATGGGTTTTAGCGTGTGAGCTGATTCCTACCTAAAATATGAGTTGATTAGTTGATTATCAAGTGACACTTACAAATGCTTCCTTATTGTTAGGAGTTATTCGGCAATAATGTTATAACTATATTTGTAAGTCTATAAGGTTGTTAGGTATGGGTCTCTCAACTTTATTGAGAGGCTGAGATGGAATGCCTTCACAACTTTGAGGCTGAAGAAACACCGCAATACCTAGCCATTGTGTTAATTCTCGTTGCTTGATCAGCGCAAATCAACGATAAAAGAGAAGAAGAAACGGTCCTTTGACCTTAGATTTAAAAAAACAAAAAATAATGCTTTTATGTGTATAGTGGTTTAGTAATGTGGTGGGTATTTTCATCAAAAAATGATGTGACGTGGAGGATGATGTGGCGAAAATTTGGTATGGATACCCACTAACCTAAATAAAGCTATTTAGATTCAATATTAGTTTTTTTTTTTTCATGAAAGGGCTTCCACACATACATTATATTCTGCATGTGCTTATTTTATCTCTATTTCATTCATCACACTACCACAATTAAACAATATGGTTCAAAAATAAATTTAAGTTTTCATTGGCATTCCCTCGTTAGATGTATACAGTTTTCTCACACACTAATACAAACTGTCTTTTAGCAACAGTTTCTAAAAACAAGGATGTGTCGATTTTCATATTTCTCATTACTAAAGGCAATAAATTAATTTACAGGATTGTTTCCATAACATTTTACTCAAAACACGTCAACATTGCTGTAACATCCGGATTCCCGGGTATTCTATGTTATTCATTATTTTGAGTTAGAGAGAAGGACTCGGCGTGTCGACACCTAGACTCGTCGAGTAGGATCACGATTTGCTGACTGAATTAATGAATGGACTCGACGAGTCGGCAGGGTGACTCGACGAGTCCGTGCTGGCGGCAGAAACCCTAAATCTTTGGGCATGTGCCCTATTTAAGGGTCCTTATAGACCTCAATTGCGGCTACCAGTCCAGAGAGAGAAACCATAGAGAGCTTGAACGAGTTGTGTGTGAGAGAGAGATCCTTTTTGATCCTTGTTAGTGTGATTTTGCAAAGGAGAAGGTGTTTCCAGCAAGAGGAGGTCAAGGGGATTGCTATTATGTGGGTTTCCAGCTTGGATCTGCAACTTTGAGGTAGTAAATCGATCCCTTCTTCTGTTTAGTATGAGATCCTTGAATCTAGGGTTTTCTATACCTTTTTTATGGCTTGAAATGATGAGTATATTGTCCCTTTGAGTGTTAAACTCTAGATCTGGACCTTTAGAGGTCCAAAGAGCCTTATCCAACCTGCTTTATGTTGTTCCATGGAAGAAATGACCTTAGGTTGCCCTTTTAGAGATGATTTCACCAAAGAGAGCCCTATGGGTGTTGCATGAATGTAAAAGTCGGACCTTTACATGATTATTGTGTATAGGAAGGGCAGATCTATAGGTTAGAGAAGTAGATCTGATCTCAGAAGGTCATTTGAGTGTTGCCATAGAAGCAACTCGTCGAGTTCATAAGTGGACTCGACGAGTCGAGTCGGGTTGCCCCGTGATTCGTGACAGGAGTAACCCGTCGAGTGAAGTGATGAATCGACATGCCAAGTGAGTTTAGAAGGATTCAGAGGACCCGCATGGACTCGCCGAGTCGCCCATGTGCACTCGACGAGTCGGGTCAAAGTTTGACTGTTGACTTCAGTTGAACTTAGGGTTTTGGTCAAGCTGATTCAAGAGGGTTCAGGGAGGGGTAGAATAGCCTTCTACCCAATCTTTAGAGATGGGACTATGAGAGGGTATTTATCAGGAATGTTATTCGAATGATAGGAGGAGGCTAGGTTGGGACGTCAAGCACGAGAGTTTATCCGACTTCGTACGAGATAAGTCTTATCACTATATTGTACCTAGAGTGGTAACTATGTGTGACCGGAAGGTATTATATGCTATGAGATGTATGTGTTGTATGCTGTATATGATATGTATGTGTTATGTATGCTATGAATGATAAGGACCAGAAGGTCAAGATGATATGGACCAGAAGGTCGATACGGGTAGGACCGGAAGGTCTATCAGGATTTCGGGATGGAAGTCCCCTGAGACACTTGGACCGGAAGGTCCCACAGAGTTATGGCCTTGAGTGGCGTATGTGTTGTATGTGGTATTTTGGGAACCCACTAAGCATTTATGTTTACAGTTGTTGTATTATGTGTTTCAGGTACTAGCGAGGATCGCGGGAAGGCGCCAACATGATTCTGGAATATGTTTTGTTATGATAAGATTGGATACATTATGTTTTGATATTATTTTATGAATAAAAGTATGTTTTAAAAAATGAAAAATTGTTTTAGGAATTCACGTTGTTACAATTGCAAATAAGACTTCACATAGTAACATCAGTTTACATAAGAATAGTGAAAAATTGTATCACAGTAAAAAAACGGTAGCAAAATATCATCTTTAATAACGGATTTTTTTATTTGATATGTATCTTTGCCTTGTGACATTTGTTAAGTAAGATGTAAAGATATATAAGGTGACAAAGTTTAATTTTAAGTGATTAATTCTTATATTGAAATTTGCCACATGAAAAAACTTGTAACAAAGTAAAAAATAGTTATAATATTATAATATGGGAAGGTGACCAAGGCGATTCATTACAAAACACCCTCTGTGGAGAATACCAAAAGTTCGTCTTCCCATATCATGTAACTAATTGTGGAACGCTTTTGAATTTTGAAATAATCTTGAATATAAGGCATGTCAAAAGACGACAAACTTAATATAAAAAATAGATTTTGGTCCCTCTGGTTATTTATTTAAGATGAATATATATTAAGTTAGTAATATGTAATATGTGTTTTGAAAAATATATTTTGATATATATATATATATATATATATATATATATATATATATATATATATATATATATATATATATATATATATATATATATATATATATATATTAAGTGTATTATGTGATGGTTACCAAAATAAAATAGGTACAACTTCAAAAGCTCTCTATCATATCGTGACAAGTTTGACATACAATAATGAGTTTTAATGGGTTATAGTCACCACAATTACAAGTCACCATAACTAATCATCAATGATGTAAAGTTTCCTTAAGTATTGAATAAAAAAAAAAGAACCGTCATAGTGACAATAATTTTTTTGCATCGGCGAAACGCATTTTTGTACTAATGATAGCTTCGAGTCGCATGCGTTCATTAGTTTCCTGGTCCATATTTGGGATATATAGTGACTAGTGTGTTCATGCAATTGACACCACCTTCCAATATCATACAGTCTCCCATATAATGGTGAGGTGTGAAGAGTATCTCATTAGTCTTTAAATATATTGGGGGTCAAACGAAAAAAATACCAAACATATAGGCATAACCATACGTTACTGAAAAGTATAGGGGAGTTAAAGTGAAATTCTTCCATTAATAATTATCCTTTACCTCCTCCATCTCAATGTCACAAGATTCAAACTACTCTCCCTCATCATGGAAGTAAGTGCAGTATGGTGTGGTATGCTTGGAGATTTCTGAATTGGGTATGGCTGAAACCAAAGAAGAACGAAAAATGTCTAAGAGACCAAGGCCTGAACGGAAGCTCCTATAAATTCTTGTTCGGAGACTTGAAAGAGGTGGTTAACATGTTAAGAGAAGCGAAATCTACACCCATAAATCTAAATAATGAAATTGTCCCCCGAGTCTTGCCCTTTGACCACAAATCGTACACTGCTTATGGTAATTAAGTGTTTTCCCTTTTCTTTCCTCTATCTAACTGTTTACATATCATAGTTGTGAATTTTGATTCTTCCAAGTGATAGAAACCGATTATTGGGTTAATCGTATAATCAGGCAAGATTTGTTTCACATGGATGGGGACGACACCTAAGGTGCAAATAACTGATCCGTCTATGGTAAGGGAGGTCTTGGCAAATAACTATCAGTTTCAAAAGCCAAGAGGAGGAAACCCATTAATAAGGACGCTAGGAGCAGGTTTGACAGATGCAGATGGTGATCGATGGAGCAAACACAGAAAAATAGTCAATCCTGCTTTTCATGTCGAAAAGCTCAAGGTTGGTTTTCCTTTACTTATGTCTTTTTCCCATTGCACCATGAATAACAGAATTTTTTATAGCATATGGTGCCTGCAATCTATGTAAGTTGTGCTGAGATGATCAACAAATGGGAGGAAAGGTTAAAAAAGGAAAGGTCATGTGAAGTGGATGTTTGGCCTTATCTTCAAACGTTATCCAGTGATGTTATTTCACGTACAGCATTTGGTAGTAACATTGAAGAAGGGAAGAGAATCTTTGAACTACAACGTGAACTAGCAGTGTTAGTTATAGACGCTATACAATCACTCTACATTCCTGGATCGAGGTGCTTAATTATCTTTGCGAAAAATATTTTATTACATCGTTTTTCTATTGATCAAGAGACGATCTAATATAATTCGAACACAAATATTAGGTTTTTGCCAACAAAAAAGAATAACAGGATAAAGAAAATTGACCGAGAAGTGAGGGCTACGATAAGGAGTATCATTGACAAAAGAATAATCGCAATGAAAGCTGGAGAAAGTAGTAAAGATGACTTGTTGGGCATACTCTTGGATTCAAATTAATCGCAATGAATAATCGCAACGATATTTTGCAGGGTAAAGCACCAGATATGTCATACGTTGTGAATGGAAATGAATACAAGTATGGATATTACCTAGGTGATGGGATATACCCAGAGTATGCTACATTTGTTAAGTCTTTTTCTTTTCCAGCCGATGAGAAACGAAAATTGTTCAAGTTAGCTCAGGAATCTGCACAAAAGGACGTTGAAAGAGCATTTGGAGTCCTAAAACAAAGATGGCACATAATCAAGCATCCAGCAAGAACATGGGATAGGGCAAAACTAACGACAGTGTTGACTGCCTGTGTGATTTTACATAACATGATAATAGAAGAAGAGGGCAAAGCTATTTGTTCATATACCGACAACGATGCACTTAACCCACCTGCAGTAATACAAGTTGGCAGCCCGACATACTTCTCTAGGGTTTTGGAAATACAAAATCGTGAAACGCATCACAATCTACGACACGATTTGACCGAGCACATATGGGGGAGATAACACCAAGGGGGAAATGACGATGAAGACGAAGAGGATGAGGGCGATGATTACGACGAGAATGCAGACAGTGACGACGAGGCGGATGATGATGATGACAACGAGTAGTACTGTTCTACAGTTTAGTTGATTTGTTAGGTTTTATGTGTGTTTTACTAATTTTAGGTTTTAAATTTCTATGTTTTTAATTAATGAAAAGTTTTTTTTTGTTTTGTTTTTTTTTTTTTTTTTTTTTTTTTTTGTATTTTCAAAAAATTTATTTATCTTATAAATTATGTTTTTTTATTTCATATAGTGTTACAAAAAATATAAAAATTTACCTATTTTAAAAATTATGTTATTTACTTACCAAAACGTTAAAATAATAATAATAATAATAAAAGTAAATGTTGTTAGTGGTGACCATTTCCATAGTGGAGTGGGTTGGTGGTGAAGGTGACGTGGCGCATATGTGGCACCACTTTTCCGGTGAGTTTGTAGTGACCACTCCATATAGTCTTATGATGCTATACATTCGATTCTCTCCAATTATGTTTTTCAGGTTAACATGGTTCTGCATGAGGTTCTTAGACTATACCCACCAGCAGTAGGACTAGGACGAATGACACATGAGGAAACGAAATTAGGGGATATGACATTACCAGCTGGAACTTTCCTCCAGTTGCAGATTATGCTTATGCACCATGATCGTGATGTATGGGGTGATGATGTAAGCGAGTTCAAGCCTGAAAGATTTTCTGAAGGTGTCTCGAAGGTGACCAAAGGACAAACATCATATCTCCCATTTGGTGGGGGTCCACGAATATGTGTTGGACTGAATTTTGCTTTGTTAGAAGCAAAAATGGCACTTGTCATGATTCTGCAACGTTTTTGCTTTCATCTCTCTCCATCCTATTCGCATGCTCCGCATACCATTGTCACTCTTCAACCTCAGTTTGGGGCTCATTTGATTTTGCGTAAACTGTAAATGATGTGTATTTGAGCACATGTTTCTACTATTGTCCTCTGTTTATGTTGCATATTGCAACTTTAATTACTCATTCAAATAGACATTAATTAAGTCATATTTATCGTTTATATCATAATTAAATATAGTTTCAACTTTCAACCCAACACTCGATATTTATGTTCTCCAAATTTTGAATATTGCAAGTTATGGTAATTAAGTTTTCATAAAAATCCAATTTTGAGACTGAATTTTTTATCTTAAATTAGACACTCAGTTTGTTAAACTTCTGACCAAATAACCGATCAACCTTCAAGATGTGTGCATAGTCATTCCTTCCTATAGCTCATTGCCAAATATAATGATAGAATCTTTTCTTCGAGATTAATTCGAATAACATTATCTGGATATAAAATTTTTGTGGACAGACATATAGAACGTTTAAAGAAAAGCAGTGGGTGGAAATTAATGATTTGAAATATTATTTTCTGATCTAAACAAGGGATTAATCAGATACATTATTTGATGTAGTAGAACCTCCGGTACCACTAGCTAGCAACATTCGGCCCTTCCCATTTTAGTCTTTCCACAGCAACCCTTCCTACAAAGGCTCCTACCTGGCATTGAACCGCATGGTATTCGTTTTGGTTTTGGTGATCCACTTCCACTTCCGCTTCCACTTCCACTACCACACCCGTCGGGTCCATCTCCTTGTTCTATAGGGTCATAATCGCAATTTGTAGCTGCATACATCAGTTTCAAATACTTTTAATCACAAAATCTGGAAATCCGTGATGAATGGAAAACAGATTAGCTAGCTATAGACTATTGATACTAAATACACGAATGAAATAAATATAGAAAACAAAATCAGACGAATATAACGCTACAACTCCAAAAGTAAGATAAAATCAAACTGTTTCCTTAAAAAAAAAAAATTAACTACACGTATTTACAATGCAACTTTAGTTACTTTATAAGAAATTAATACTGTAGCAGCTTCTATTAGCGTTTTTTTATTATTAACTGTGAGAGGTTTAGAGAAAACCGAACCTAGGTGGCGGACATGGTTGTCTGGAGTCCGAGCAGTGGCGGTGGTTGTAATGATGTGAGATGATGAACTAATGACGATGAGGATGATAAGAGCCAAGGTAAGTCTTCGTCCTTTTAAGATTAAGGCCATTTTTTTCAATGATTGAATGAATATGAATGTGTGAGTAACCATTTATGAAGGATCTATTTATACACGATCATTCATTCCCCAATGGTTTGTTCAATCAGTGTCCAATTATTTTGGTCAACGATATAGTCAGCATAAAGGAAACTGGTAAGAAAAGAGAGTGGCGCGCAGTTGTTAGCTATAGCCGCCTAAGAAATCCTACCTTCTTGCTCATTTCCTGAACTTTGTCTATGCAGTTTTGTCTTGGCTTCCAATATATCCGATGGCATTTTTACTTATCATATCTTTTTAATAATTATTTTATTAGCAGATTGCAAAATTAAATACTAATAATTAATTAATTGTAGTTTGTAAAAGTAATTATTAATAATTAATAGTTAATTTTACTTTTCTTAATAGATTAACATTATATATACATATTTTATTTTAATTATTACTTCAATGATTATTATTTATTAATCATTATATTATTAGTTGCAATTTATATATATATATATATATATATATATATATATATATATATATATATATATATATATATATATATATTTAATATTTAAATATTTTGTTTTAATTTTTTTAGTAAACGGTTCAAATCTTTTACATTATTATTTTATTAACTCCGATTTTGTTTTAGGTTTAATATTATTTTTTTTCCTCATATTCATAGATTGGCATAATAATGGGCACATACAACCTTTTGGTTCTTGCTTTTATATTTGGGTTATATGTTAATAAATACGCTTTAAAGTTTTCAAGTTTTCAGGAAATGTTTGGTCTTACCTTTTGATGTATTTTCAGTCTAGTGAAATTGCAAGTTTCGTTTAATTTTTTTTGTTTATACCGTTTTAGCATGCAAGTTTTTCCGATTACAACAAGTTGCTTAAAGACGTGGCAAACCACGTCGACGCGGACTAGGCTCAATCAGCGGACACGGCGTTGAGCCGGACATGGTAGCTTTTTAAGCTTGTTTAAAGAACAAGCTTTTGGCTAATTGGGCTAATGAAATAAAAGTCATTAAGTTTTTATAAAATCTTTGGTTTTACCCTTTGACCTATTTCAGGTTCAGTAATATCGAAATTTTTGTTTAATTTTTTCATTTATAGCTTTTTAGCAGGTTTTCTCGATTACAAGTTGCTTACAGAAGTTTTGTTTAATTTTTTCGTTTATAGCTTTTTAGCAGGTTTTGTCGGTTACAAGTTACTTATATACAAGGTGTCTAACTAGGGTTTCTAAGTAGGAGGTCTTGAGTTCAATCCCAGACAAATACTAACATGGTCGTTCAAAAAAAAAAAAAAAAACAAGTTGCTTACATACATGGCAAACCACGTCTAGACAAGCCAACTTTTTAAGCTTGTTTGAAAAACACACTATATTCGTAGGTGCGACCTTTGGGTGACAAGGGCAACACCTTTACCATTACACTAACTTTATTTGATGTCTCTAATGCTGAAAACTTGTATATACTATATGAAAGGTAGGAACCTTTTATTATTGTTATTATTATCATTCGTCTGCATAGTGCTCGATCCTTGTACTGAAATGTTATTCGGTGATGTTATTTCAGGTACAACATTTGGTAGTAACATTGAAGAAGGGAAGAAAATATTTGAACTACAACGGGAACTAGCAGTGTTAGTTATAGACGCTATACAATCACTTTACATTCCTGGATCGAGGTGTTTATCTTTCCGAAAAATATTTTATTACATCGTTTTTCTCTTGATCAAGAGACGATCAAATATAAATCACACACAAATACCAGGTTTTTGCGAAAAAAAACAATAACATGATAAAGAAAATTGACCGAGAAGTGAGGGCTACCAAAAGGAGTATCATTGACAAACGAATAATCGCAATGAAAGCTGGAGAAAGGAGTAAAGATGACTTGTTGGGCATACTCTTGGAATCAAATTACAGAGAAATTAAAAATGGATATAAGAATTCTGGATTAACCATTGATGAAGTAATCGATGAGTGTAAGCTTTTCTACTTTGCTGGACAAGAGACTACTGGAATCTTACTAGTTTGGACTTTGGTTTTCTTGGCGTAGCACACAATTGGCAAGAACGTGCCAGAGAAGAAGTTTCACAAGTATTTGGGCATGAAAAACCAGAAAGCGATGGGTTGAATCGTTTAAAAATTGTGAGCCTTTTAATACGTTTATAAAACCATACATCCTCCTATGATGCCATATATTCGTTTCTCTCCAATTATGTTTTCCAGGTTAACATGATTCTGCATGAGGTTCTTAGACTATACTCACCAACAATAAGATGAATGAAACATGAGGTGTAACATCTAGATTTCCAGGTACATTATTTATTCATTTATTTTGGAGATTATGGAAGGACTCGGTGAGTTGATGCTTAGACTCGCCAAGTAGGATCGCAATTTCTATCCGGATTAATGACTGGACTCGGTGAGTCGACTAGTGGATTCGGCGAGTCCGCGCTGTTTAATGAAACCCTAATCCCCGGGGTTTGAGACCTATTTAAAGGGGCTTATAGCCACCATTTGCGACCACCAGACCCCTGAGTGAAACCCTAAGCGATCTAAAGCGTTTGTAAGGAAGGAGAGGCCATTTTTTTATCCTTGTGTGAGTGTTTCTGCAAGAAGAAGGTGGCTAAGGCAAGAGGGAGCTGATGAGGGTGCTATTCTATGGATTTCAGAGCCTAAGAACTTCATATTGAGGTTTATATTCGATCCTTCTTAAGTTTTGGGTGTTAATCCTTGAGAGTTAGGGTTTCTAGACCATTTTGAGTGTGATTGATGGTGCAATTGGTCCCTTCTTGTGTTGAGGCTTCGGATCAGGATCCAAAGAGGTCCAGAGACCTTATCTCCCTGATCTTTATGGGGTGACATTGGGTAATATGAGCTTAGGGGGACATATTGAGGCCATTTCTTCAAATAGAGCTATTGGGTCTTCGCATGGGCATCAAGATCCTAACTTTACGTGTTTATATTGCTTAAGGAGGCCAAATCTATGGATTAGAGGAACGAATCTGACCTCAGGAGGTCATTTGAGCTTGAGCATGACATGAACTCGCCGAGTCCCAAGAGCAGACTCGACGAGTAGGGCTAGGGTTTTCCTATAGTTCACTCAGTGAGTAACTTGCCGAGTTGGGGGAATGACTCGGTGAGTCAGAGAGAAATAGAGGAGCGGAGTTCAAGGCGGAACTCGCCGAGTTCATAATAGGACTCGGCGAGTTGAGTCGGGGTGGCCCCCGCGATTCATGCTAGGTGTAACCCGTCGAGCAGGGGAAAGACTCGACGTGTCATGCGAGACTAGAGGGATAGTGGACACGCGTAGACTAGCCGAGTCGCCCAAGTGCACTCGGCGAGTTAGGTCAAATTTTGGTCGTTGACTTTGTTGACTTTGAGGGTTTGGTCAACAATGGGGTCTTTGTGTCAAGTGAGGGGTAAAATGGTCTTTTACCCTTCTGAGGGTGCCAAGAGAGGGTTGAGTCTAGTCTTAAGAGTTATATTTATGAGAGTATTTACTTTATGTTACTAGGCGGAGCCTAGATCATACTTCTACCGAGTCAGAGATTTACCGAGACATCTGAGGTGAGTCTTATCACTATACTTTACCTAGAGTGGTAACAGAGTTATGTGCTAGTGTACTATTGAGTTATGTGCCAGTGTATCTGTATGCTATTTATGTGTTATTGTGATATGTTATATGCATGATTTAGAGTTTCCAGAGATAGGACTAGTGGGTCCATAGAGTTAGGGCTAGAGGGCCCACAGAGAGTGGGACTGGAGGGTTCCACGAGACACACTGACCAGAGAGTCAGCAGACTTATAGCCTTGAGTGGCTAATATGTGTTAGAGAGGTATTTTGGGGAACTCACTAAGCTTCGTGCTTACAGTGTTTTGTGTTACGTGTCTCAGGTACCATCGATGATCGCGGGAAGGCGCTGACATGATCTGTACACACACTCACGAAGTTTATTATGATTTGGTCTTGGGATTTGTAATGAGATAATGTTGATACAATGTTTTCTTGAAAGTAATTATGAATGAATTTGTATGGTTTTAAAAAGCAAAAAATAGTTTTAAATTTTACGGTGTTACATGAGGAAACCAAATTAGGGGATATAAAATTACCAGATGGAACTTTCCACCGATTGCAAATTATGCTTATGCACCATGATCGTGATATATGGAGTGATGATGTGAGCGAGTTCAAGCCTGAAAGATTTTCTAAAGGTGTCTCGAAGGTGACCAAGGGACAAACATCATATCTCCCTTTTGGTGGTGGTCCACGTATATTTGTTGGACTGAATTTTGCCTTGTTAGAAGCCAAAATGGCACTTGTCATGATTCCACAACACTTTTGCTTTGATCTCTCTCCATCCTATTTGCATGCTCCACATACCATTGCCACTCTTCAACCTCAGTTTGGGGCTCATTTGATTTTGCGTAAACTTTAAATGATGTGTATTTTGAGCACATGTTTCTATTAGTGTGCTTGGTTTATGTTGCAATGCAACTTTAATTACTTGGTCAAATAGACATTAAGTCAAGTAAAATCGAAATTAAGTCAAATTTTTGGTTTACATCATAAATATGGTTTCTACGCAACCTTTGATATTTATGTTTAGGTTCTTAAAATTTTAAAAATTGCAAATTATCATAATTAAGTTTTCATAAAATCTGATTTTGAGAAAGATCTTTTTTCAAATTGGACACTTATTTTACTGATTTATTGTAATTCTGACCATTTAACCGGTTAACCATAGTTGCATTAAATGTTGACGTAGCACTTTGGATACTTCCCAGGCGAAAAGGGCGTGGGTTTCTTCCACCTCAACCAAAACCACCGTCACATTAAATCCTGTGTACTCTACACATGAGAGAGAGAGAGAGAGAGAGAGGCCCATCGGTGGTGCAGACCTGAGACCTTTAAGGCTTAGTCAGAGTCTTAGAATATTGGCCTTTCTATACACACATCCTATTTCCATTTTGAATCAAAATTAAAATTAACCAACATTATGGGATCTAAAACACAACACAAAGAAGTGACCATCGATATGGTACACATTCCATGTGGTACAAAGTTATGTGGATGAAGCTCATGCCGCTTTTGAAAGTTGACGATAGCCAGCCATGTTTGATTTTTTTTTCTTCTACTAAACTTGAGAACCATCTTGACAAATATAATGATAGAATCTTTTCCTCGAGATTAAAACAGCATTTCGAACAACATCTGTATATAAAATTATTGTGGACATACTCATACATATACGACTTTAGGTAAAAGCAGTCAAAAAGGGTGGAAATGATTTGAAATATTATTTTCTGATCTAAACAAGGGATTAATAAGATACATTATTTGATGTAGTACAACCTCCGGTACTACTAGCTAGCAACATTCGGCCCTTCCCATTTTAGTCTTTCCACAGCAACCCTTCCTACAAAGGCTCCCACCCGGTGTTGAACCGCATGGTATTCGTTTTGGTTTTGGTGATCCACTTCCACTTCCACTTCCACTACCACACCCACCGGGTCCATCTGCTTGTTGTATAGGGTCATAATCGCAATTTGTAGCTGCATACATCAGTTTCAAATATTCTTAATCGTTAGGGAAGGGTACAGGTCGTATGCACTCTATGTATTATAATTAATGTAGTTTGATCAGAAAATCTGGAAATTGGTGATGAATGGATTACAAATTAGCGATAGACATTCACAGTAAATACACGAATGAAATAATTATAGTAAACAAAATCAGAAGACTATAACCCTACAACTCCAAAAGGATGGTAAAATGAAACTGCTTTCCTAAAAAAAAGTTTAACTACACGTATTTACAATGCAACCTTAGTTAATTTATAAGAAATACTGGAGCAGCTTCTATTAGCGTTTTTTTATTATTAACTGTGAGATGTTTAGAGAAAACCGAACCTAGTTGGCGGACATGGTTGTCTGGAGTCCGAGCAGTGGCGGTGGTTGTAATGATGTGAGATGATGAACTAATGACGATGAGGATGATAAGAGCCAAGGTGAGTCTTCCTCCTTTTAAGATTAAGGCCATTTTTTTCAATGATTGAATGAATATGAATGTGTGAGTAACCATTTACGAAGGATCTATTTATACACGATCATTCCCCACTGGTTTGTTCAAACAGTGTCCAATTATTTTGGTCAACGATATAGTCAGCATAAAGGAAATTGGTAAGAAAAGAGCGTGGCGCGCAGTTGTTAGCTATAGCCGCCTAAATCCTACCTTCTTGCTCGTTTCCTGAACTTTGTCTATGCAGTTTTGTCTTGACTCAGGGTCGGCCCGTGGGCATGGGCAAGCTGGGCGACCGCCCCAGGCCCCCAAATGTTATAGGGCCCTAATTTTTAATTTGTTATTTTGGTTATATATTAACAATCCATTACTTTTTAACCTATTGGACTATTTCAAACCCCAATACTCTGATCAAGAATTAATCCAAAAGATGGAGTGCGGGAGAGAACGACTTACCTGACATGCGTCCTAATTCCAAGGTGTCGTAGCTCTTCAACAGTCAGATTTCTATAGAAAATCCAAACATTTCCATGGAAAATCCAAACGACGTCCTCTCCAAAAGCAAGAGTTAACGATCATTCTTCTATTTCTTATTCAAGATTTCAAGTTAATTGTTTTCTTTCATTCTTTTCTGATTTTCTGAATTCGTCCACAACAACCGTTAGTGAATCGAATGTTATTTTAGAATTGAGAGACTGATTGTGTCTCATTCTTTTCACGATTTCAAAAAAACGAAAAACTCTATTGTTTCCCTTCTTGTTGTCGATTTCCTTTTTCTGATATAGCACCAATGGAAAGTTAATCAGGTTATTTGATTTATTTTAGGAATCTGGCCTAGTGGTTTTAATCGAGAGTTCCAGTCACTGCCTCAAATTAAATTTCTTTCTCAATTTCTAGAAATTTGAAGGTTCAGTTTTCAGAATCGACTGTTAGAGGTGAAATTGATTTCTGATAATATGATTGTGAATCTCTGTATGTTCTATCGCTCTTGAAATTTCTTATTCTTTTTTTATATTCGATTTTTATGAGGCTGTTCAAGTTAGAGACATAATCAAATGTTAATATTTTTTTAATTAGATACAGTTCTTGAACTTTATTGCTTAATTTCGATTTGTAATGTTAATATTCTTATTTTTTATTGATGAATGGTACTCCTTTTTATTTCTATTTCTATGTTTTTTATATGTATATAATTTTCTGTTGTTGAATAGTTTCTTCAACTACTTCCAGGTTATTAACAACAACAAGTATTCTGGATTTAAGCAATTCAGTTAACAACTTTTTGTCGATGATAAATCTACTTCAGTTGGAGGTCAACAACTTATGTATAGGAACAGAACTGAACAAGTTAATGAAGAAATAAAGGGGATGAGACTTTAGTATTTTTATACTTCTAATATCATTGTATTTTTAGTTTTTCCCATTATATTGTATACAAATTTAAATGTATTGTTATGTATGTATAAAGTAATGTAATATACGAATACATAAAATTTTCGAAAGGGTTCCATTTTTTATTTTACCCCGTGCCTCCAATTATCTTGGCCCGGCCCTGTCTTGACTTCCAATAAATGTTTGATCTAATATATTGGCGTTGTCATCTACTCATCTTCGCGCATGTGTCAGATATGGGTATTGCTAACAATTATTATTATTATTATTATTGTTATTATATTTTTTTTGTTAAAGAGATTTGTTTATGTAATGTTAATAAACAATTTGAAAGTGTGGAAAACTATGCCCAAAAGTGATAAGACTATATTGTGACTCCCATTCGATTTATATTTTTTAATTTTCTTCTTATTCATTTAATTTTAACATTATTTTTGCACTTTATTATGGTAAAATTGCAAAAATGGTTATTGTGTCTATTATTTTTGTTTGATTTTAGTTCAAGCATTAGTACCTTTAAGAGGTTAATTTTTAATATTTTTGGATGTTTTTGAACCACAAATATAATCTACTTTTAACCTATCACTTAAATCTACTTATATTCACGACCGATCTTGAGCCCTCGACCTCAAAAAAGGAAGACAACATCTGATACCATAGGATTAAACTTGAAATGACTATTTATACTTTAAATATATATTAATTTTAAATTAATACACGTCTAAAGTAACTCAATCCCACTCCCATGCATCATCCTCTTTTCTTTTACCGACCCCTCCGTCTTCTTTCTCTCTATCTCTTCCTTTATACCCCTTCACCTTGTCTTCTCTCCGACCACAATCACCGGTCTTTGTTGACCTTCAGCTACAAAGATTTCTTATATCCATCACCAACGGTCACCACTCAAATGAAAATACCTCCAACCGACCCAAATAAGCATTAAAGGAGACAACTCAAGAGTAAGACACTTGGAATGCTAGTTCATTCTTGTATTCTTGAGTGTCTCAAGCCTTTAAGCGCTTAACTCAAATAAGCATTAAAGGAGACAACTCAAGAAAGCTTTAATTATTCACTTGACTTCAAAAGTCATGGAGAGAGGATGGAAGAAGCAAGCTACGAATTTAGTGAAGAATAAAGAGGAAGAATAGAGTGTTTCACTAGCAAAAAATGCAAGCCTCATGCATTTCTTATATAGTCTGTGTCAGGTAAGGATCACCTTTAAAATACATTAATGTAATGGCTAGCATAAAAAGCATGAGAGACATTTAATAATAAATTCGGCCATACCTCTGAAAAGAGGAGGATTCTTTAATTTTTATAAACCCTAGGTTTATAAAATATAAACTTTGTCTTTTGGTAAAAGACAAAAGAATCCAACTAGTCCAAAATATTGTGCATGACTTATTAATTCATACCATATGAAAGAATAACTAGTTATACTATCTTATAATTATTATTTTCACAAAACGATAATTATTTACTGATTAAACACAAGAATTGATATTATTTATTAATAATCATATTAATAATAAATATACAAAATGTGCCAACTTGATAAAGATGTGACCCTATATGATCATATATTATTAGCAATGTCACTCAATAATGATTCCTGGGCATATAGATTCAACAATCTACCACTTGCACATGATTCATTACAGAATGACATAGACAGTAGTTGACATCTAGCAACAGGGTAATGCCCTTAACAACATATGAAGGGTGTCATCTTATCAACAACCAATTCTAGGAGCTCTAAGCTATAATTGTCACTAAATGTGTGGTATCAATTATTCCTTTTTCTCATACATCATGTTGAATATGAGATATGGATCGCGATCAATCTCATTTAGTGTTCAAATTTGAGTAAAGCCTTAGATGTCTAACTCTCAATAAATAAGAGGAATAAATCTCATCTTGACTACATATGCCCATTAGTGTAGTTAATGTTATAACCAATGATGGCCCTTATGACTTCCTTTTATGGAACATCATTAAACCATGTCAATGCACAATAATTCCTACACTTCAAGTCGCAAATATGAATCGTAGATCTAAGAATACAAAGATGCAACCTTGATCAAAATATCACTCTTGACTACGATCTATAAAGTGATTTTGATGTGGGTCAAGTTTGGGATTTATTCTCTTAATCATGTACCTACGAAGTTGGTAGTAGCTCTTGCTATTTTCATCTCCATTAAAATCAACCAATCCACTCATATTAATCTTACCTCATAGATGTTTCCATAACTATGAACTACTATGGACATTTAGGATAACCTGTTATTCAAGGATTTAAACATGCTAATATATAATACAACAATCATCCAATGAAAGACTCATCTCCAATATATCAATTCATTACAATATATGTTGTTTGTACTGTTACAATATCCAAATACTAAATTTCAATCAAATACATCTACTTATATCAACAAGGCCTTATAGCACCAACTTAACTTTCATGTTTTAGCTAATGAAGGATCTTTTTTAAGTAGATTTGACAAACTTGATTTGTATAAACTTTGCGAACACAAACACTTTCGGTTTTATATATATATATATATATATATATATATATATATATAATATGAAAACTAGGGAGAATGTATTAGATGCTTAAATATGACTTAGATACCAATGTACCTGAACTTTGCTGTGTAACTATAATTAAAATCTACATGGAAACACTATCCATGTAACTTTCTCTTCATTCAAAATGAGTACACGCCCGATTGTCATTAAGAATCATCTCAATCTATTTGGAAGTTTAGCATATGTGTATAAACCTTAAGCATATATTTCTTTAGAATACTCTGCAGATTATGAATATTTCTATAGTACTCGCATGTACTTTAGAGTGTTCCTATAGGCCACACGATGCTTGTTCTCGGATTATACTGGTATCATTCGGCATGCTCTAAGCATACAATTTATTTGGATTTCATGCATAATTATGAGATATATGATTACTCCAATTGCAGCAGCATATGGAATACAATGATGTTATCTAGTTCAAAACATTTTCACTAGGATTTTGCTCAAAAATCATGTCATGTTGTATGTGACAAGATAACTCTCTCAACGTCTTTTATTTTAAGCTCTTTAAGATCCTTGGAATTAATGCAATTTTACTTAATCCTTTATGTCTCCATGGTCTATCTATATAGATCTTTATTCTAGGTATTAGTGTGTCGGCTACATATAGGACCGAGAATGTTATTATGCTTCCACTAGCTTTGTAGAAAACACAAGATTTATATTGAATTATAATTAAATTACACTATGTGATTATCTTATAAGAAAGAAGATTCTTACTTCGAGATGTTAGCTTAAATCTGGAAGGATTTTCATTCACATAGATTTTCTTATTTGAAAACTCACTTATCTTTATATTCATAATATATCGAGGAATATTAATCAAGCCCATACTTGATTATCATACATGAATGCATCTGTATGTGTTTTATTAGTTTCTGATCAACTATTGAGCAGATTCAACAATAGTGGAAAAACTTGCAAGTTCCAAACTATGGTGTATTTAGCTAATGGTTCTTTAGCTATTAAAGTTCTATATTACTCCCACGTAGAAAAAGAACTTTATAAGCAATTGTCTCATGGAATGA